GGGGGGGGGGGGTGGAGAGTGAATCTCTAACAAGTATTGCATTGTCAAATTGTTACGGAGAGTTATGAAATAAATGAAGTAATTGTGACAAACAAGCAAGCAAGATTTTAGAATCACTAAGAAAACCAAGGTCTAGTTGTAAGTATTGAGTATTGGCATGCCTATATGGCTATATATCATCACTCAACCAGTCAACCTATTTACAGTTCACATAAAAACCTCACAGCATTACAACAACAACAATAAGAAAGCCTTAACCCCAAGTAACTTGGGGGCACAATAGGGCAAGTCACATCCCAATAGGACTAATAGTAAAAGTTCATGTAACTCGCATTGGGAATTGACAAAGCTTTAGCTGATATTGGCAAAGCTGACTACTCTATCTTTGCTAATTCAATGTTTATCCAAGAAGATCGCAAAAGTAGCCATAAGATCACTAGATCACCAGAAATGCAATCATAAATACCTGGAGACACATGGCGGCCTCAAGAGTGTTCCTTATGCACGTCAGATATAACCGCAATGGGTTTGCCTATCAAATTGATAACCAAAATTTGATCAATCATCAATTGTGTATAAACCTAAAATCAGAAGTGGCTAACTTGTCAGAAAACAGGGTTGTAACGAAATAACAAATAACTAATAAATAAGTCAATTCCAATGACTCACTTGGCTCATAGAATGGAACATGAATTAAAGAAAGCAAAATCAAGAACAAATGGAAAAAAATATTTTCTTTTTATTATTTGGTTCATAAAAAAGAATGCAAAAGGAATTATTTGATTGGACTTGTACTGAAAACAAAAAGAAAAGTAAAATAACCAAAATAACTATATACCAGAATATGGTTCGCCTTTCCTTTTAAGGAAGTGATTGGGTGGGTCATATTACGTAGTATTTCTAAATCAGCATATCGGGTCAAACCCGGAATCTCATTTTGAGACGGATGGAGTATAAGTTATATGTACGTGTATATAGTGAACATGAATGGAAACACACACAAATATGTGTGTGTGTGGAGTGCAAGGGTATGTCACGTTCCCTTATTGCGAGAGGGACGTATTGGGAGTGTGATTGTTCATTAAAGCTTAACATTTTGGTCAAATTCCTTGTCACTAAATAATAATGATTAATGAACAAGTATTCTGCAGTATCCCAAGGCTTTGGAACACCAAAGAGGAAAATTTGAAGTTCAATTGATTCTGCACACCAAACATGTCCTAAAACCACAGGGAAGCATGAAAAATGAACATACTAAATAGGAAACACATTGGGGAGGTCTAGGAAAGCCAAATGCAGGCAGCTTTCTCACTGTAAGGTGCTGATGAAACTAGCACAGAATAAGCTAGTGTGTGCGATCAAATTTTCTTCACTCCATTGTTAAAAAATTTCAATTGCAAGCCAAAATTCACACATTCGAGTGCTACTCGAGCAATTCAAATACCCCAAATTCTGAATCACGCGTTAATCAAACGTAAACAACAGTCAGACAACCCAAATGTACTAGTTTCAATTGCTGCTTCATTTTCCACCAAATTCCTTGTCAACTCTAAATCTCTAATTACAAACATTTCTAAATGCATTTAGAGAGGGGCGCGAATCTCACCATAGGAGAAAAGATCGATGGCCGTCGTCGTTGATTCAGATTTCCTTTGATGAGCACATTCAGATCCTAGGACTAACAAAGTTTAAACCACTGAAGAAGAGAAGAAGAAAAGAAGAAACGAGCTTTGTAGCTCAATTTCGCAAACGAAAGAGAAATGTGTTTTAACCACGTCTATTAAGAAATAGTACCTGAATTGGAACAAACAGACGCTTTGGCCGAGTGGTTAAGGCGTGTGCCTGCTAAGTACATGGGGTTTCCCCGCGAGAGTTCGAATCTCTCAGGCGTCGTCTAATTTTTTGTCTCACTTTTTAAATTCAAAGTGATTTTTATGTTTTGGTCTCAAAAAACTCCTAACACGTTAATTCAATAACTCTAAATTTGTGAAATTAACCATTTCCAAAAAAACGGACTACAATCCACAGGGAATACTTAAATTTAATGTTTTTGGAAGGACAAAAAATAAAAAGCATGTATTTTAAAGGGATCAAATTCTAACTTAAAAAAAATTATTTATGAGTGTCCAAAGTTTAAACACCTCTAAAATCCACGAAGTCTTAACAAAAAATATAAAATACCTTGCAATAATTTTTTAGTTTTTTATTACTATGGGGTAGTTGAATTTTAGTATTGTGTAGTAGTTTTTGCAAAAAAAAATGCTTAAAATACACTATCTCTCCACAAATTCATTTCAATCTAATGCTGTTACTCCACAATTTTTTTTTAGAATTCTATAGTATGTTCAATATATTCACCGTGATTTTGATTAACAATATTACAAGAAATCATTTCAAATAAGAGTAAAACATAGAAAAATATCAGTATAAGATTTCTATATTTTTATCCACAAAATAAAAGTTTGTAAGGTGGTAATGTGACAAAGCATTTCACTATACGTTTGGTAATATATATGGTCATAATTTACATTGTAAATGTATATTAACTCCTATTTATAAGATTAAATATGAAACTCTTATTTTAATATTTATTCAATATTTTATTCATAGTATTGTTTTTATTCCTAAAATCAGTTTATTTGTAGTAAATATAATGGAATATTTGCACTAATAGCAATGCTATTTAGAAAAATCATTATATTTTACTCTGTTATTTAACTAAATTTTCTTTCATCAAATATAATTAGAACACGATAATAGTGGTATTGTGGATTTTTTTATTTTTTTGAAAAAAAAAACACACCCCAATGGAGAGATGAGGACTTCATCATCTCCCATACGCCAACGAGCTTGAATCTAGATCGACCTTTCTTCTCACTGCGACGAATCTGTGTTCATCTTCTTCCTAAAGCACCAGTCTCGCGCGTTCTCCATCTCCATTGCGAACTCAGTCGCCCTTCAGACTTCAGAGGATACGCATATGACGCCTCAAACTGGCGCTGCACCGCCGCGAGCTCACCGAGATTCACTCCGACTCCACCTTCAGTAAATCCGCAGGCTCCGATCACACAAGCCTCGTCGAAAATGCGGAGGTAAATTTACTTCAGAGTCTCTGTAAGTGTTTACATGCGCACTCGATTCTCTATCTGCTGTTGATCTGGTGATAGCTTTTGGCAGACCAGGGCACCGGCACCAGCTGAAGCAGCATTTAGGACTGGGAGTGAAGGGGATGTTTGGAAGGCTCACAGTTGTTGCTGTTGTACTGGTGATCTGTATGGTCTTGCTTTTCTCTGCTTCCATGACTAGTAATAACAACTCTTCGTCCGAGGTTGGTTTCGTACTTCCATCCATTGCTCATTGCTTTTTCAGATTAGCTTGCGATTCTATGGTCTGTGAGAAGTTTTATGTCGATCTGACTAGCAACTGATGAAAGTTTGGATTTGATGCGGAAAATATGCATTGGTTTTACATTGTGTGAATGAGGTTCTGTTGCTTGAAGAAAATTGTTGTCATTAGGGGAAGATATCTAAACAATGCACCTGATATGCATATAATAAGATACATGTAATATCTCTATTACCTCTCACAAATAGAAACTTTATGGCTTAATACCCACATGCACCTTGTAGTATGACCGTTTAAATTTTCTATTTATTGGAATTAGTAAGTGTATCATGCTCATCTTATTTTCTGCACAAGGGCGTATGATACCCAACCAATTGTCATTATTTTGAAAATGGAGGGTTTCAGCTAAGAAGTTGGTGAGCTAAAGAGTATTGATTTTACAAATAGGCTATTTACAGATGACTGTGTTCAGAATATTGTTTTGAGTAAGTTCAAGTATTATATCATCTAGAGAGAATGAGATTCATGACCATCAAATTGGGATCTCCCTTGTTCACACTAGACACCATGACACCTAAAAACCAGACCCCTTTTCCTTTTAGGATGTGTGCTCATTTTGCCTATACTTAAAACCCTGTCAGTTGAACTGCTACATGTAATGTGTGTGTCTATGTCACTGTATTGGACAATGGTGACTATTTGTTTGATTTACATTATTGTGTATTTAAATAGTCCTGTGTCCCAAAATAATGTTCCACATTACTATTTAACCATTTCTTCTTTGCTTGCATGTCTTCCCTACATATTTTCTTGGTAAGATAAAATAGTCATGCCACCCCATGTTTTGTAGAGTTTTTTATGCATAATATTTTCCAGTCCCCTGAATTTTCCAGTCCCCTGAATTTTGACACGAATTTTCAAAATAAATTGAATAAGGAACCTTTTTTTGGATATTTAATAGCACATTAGCACCTCAACAACTCAACTGAGTCAATCTCTCTCCACAGCTAATAGTAACAAACTAACAAAAAACAAGAAAACTTTTCTTTTGCATATAGGTTATATATTTAATCTACTTTATCTTTGGCATTGGTAGGCTTAGTTTTTTTCTTTTTACATCTGAACAGATTGATGTGGAGGCCCTATGGAGAACTGCTGATTCTGGTGGTTGGAGGCCATCATCTGCACCTCGTTCTGATTGGCCTCGTATGTGGTTTCTTTATCATTCAATGTCTGGATAAGTGTTTTCTTTAAGCCCCAATCGGTTTGATTCTTATGTTCTCGTTCATTTTTTGTCTGCAGCTCCTCCTAGTGTGACCACTGGTTATCTGCGTGTTCGTTGCAATGGTGGTCTGAATCAACAACGCAGTGCGGTCCGTATGTATTCTTTATCATTTTAATCTTGTAGGAATATCTTCATTGAGCATATCCCTACTTTGGCATGTATATGAATGCGTCTACAACACTCTCTAAGATGTTTAAGGTGAAAGTGTTTGACATGCCCTTCTGAAGTGGAAACCCCATTTTATGCATGTTGATATTTTGACCAATTGTAGCCAGCTATAGCAAGACTAATACTCTGTATTATTTTTTGTTTGCTATGTATATTTTCAGTCTTCATAGAGTTTATGCATTTTTTAAATATTTTGTTGTTGCTGTGCAAAGTTATATGGTCCATTCTGACTTGAAACAAAAAGAATATAACACAAATTATCTCCCTTAACCGATCACTTGGATGAAATGATTTGCACTCATGTATGTAGCTACATGTTGTAACATTAATATTGTAATTCTTCTTATGTTGGCATACATTCTTTTTCTTCTTTTGTGATGCATAGTATTGTGCACCATCATTTGTTCATGAAAGCATAATGAAAACTTTGTACCTATTGCCTTTGCTTGCACACAATCTTTTTCTGTTGAAGCAAATAAGGGGTCATAAAATACTGATATCCTTTTTGTGCTATAACTGTGAGGGACTTCACTGAGTTGACAAATCCTTGATTTTTAGATTTGTAATGCAGTGCTAGCTGCGAGAATTATGAATGCGACCCTTGTGCTGCCTGAGTTGGATGCGAACTCCTTCTGGCATGATGACAGGTACTTTTTTTATATCATAGCATTGTGCATGCATAATAAGTTTCCCAATAGTCTAGTAACTATGTGAACATGCAGTTTTCAATTCTATTTTATATTCTTTCTCAAGATCATAAATCTATTAAGCATGTTATGTTTAATAGTTTTCACTCATTAGGCCATTTTGGGTCTTTGGGATTAGTTTTATGTTTTTTTACTCTTTTCTATTGGAGTATTGGTGCAATAAAACATTACTTTCTAATTACAACTGTAGTGTACTAATTCATACCCGAGTACTTCTTTTCTGTTGTCAAATCGGACGAACATTGATCATCTCAATTAAATAAAGTATTATATTGTATACACCACCACCAACAACATTACCCTAGTGCCTCAAAGGCTCTTGCTCATTGCAGGGTAAGGGGGGTTGGATGCACGCAGCTTGGCCTCTATGTTTAAAACATACCTCAATTAAATAAATATTACATTGCATATTAATAAAATAGAATATTATTTTGAAAATATTTTACAAGATAAATCTAATTAAATCATTTTTGTACTAATATGCAATGCAATTTTTATTTAATTGATGATTAAAGTTCTTCGAGTTTAACTCCAAAAAGTCAAATTAGATAAACACACTAGGACACAAACAGTAAAAAAGTTGTGGTATACTAGCTTGGCTTCTTTTGCCATCTCTTTTACATTGTAAATGATTTGGAGAGTCAAAACTGAAGAAGGATGATTCAATTTTTTCCCATATAGTAGCATATTGCTTTGAAATTTTACATTTGTACTTCATATGTTTCTCAGCTATATCTGTTTAGATATGCTGCTCTATCGATGTGCATATTTCTTATGTCACAGAGAATCTAGTTTGATTGACAAAAGTTGTCTATTCCAGTAACTTCTGCTGCAGATGTATGTATTTTTAAAAAGTGGTAGCTCTTAATGTTAACTTAAATTTTATTAGGTAGACAATTGATTCGTGCAGACACGTACAGTTTAAATGATATTCAATGGAATGATGGATGCTATCTTTTTATGTGAGATGATTTTCAGATTGCCTCTTTACATCTATCAACTTAACTGTTAATCGATCATCATTATTTTCTTGATGGCCAGTGGTTTTCATGGTATCTATGATGTTGAGCATTTTATCAACACATTGAGGTATGATGTAAAGATTGTGGAGAGGATTCCTGAAATTCAGAAAAAAGGGAAGACTAAGAAAATAAAAGCATTTCAGGTAATGAGCCGTTATGTTATGTCCATGGAATATGAGTACATGGTTTTATTTCTGATGTATAGTCAATATAAACTCTTGTGATTCAGCTTCGGCCTCCTAGAGATGCTCCTATTAGTTGGTATACAAAAGATGCTATGGAGAAGATGAAGGAACATGGTGCTATTTATCTTACTCCATTTTCACACCGCCTGGCAGAAGAGATTGACAATCCAGAGTACCAGCGGCTTAGGTGTAGAGTTAACTATCATGCTCTTAGGTTTAAGCCACACATAATGGAATTGAGCAATGCAATTGTCAATAGACTTCGTACACAAGGGCACTTTATGTCAATTCATCTCCGGTTCGAGATGGATATGCTAGCATTCGCTGGGTGAGTTACATGATGTTTAATTGCTTACTTTGTGGTCACTTATTGAAGAAACAATTTACTTGGTGGCCTAAGAAAGAAACAATATACTGGGCATTTGGTTTAGGTGATCTCACAGTACATAGGTAATTTGTGAAAATTAACACGGTGTTTGCTTCCTTGCTTATATTTTGGAATGCACCCAAGTGCAGGAACTCGTGCCTCTCGATAAAATAGGATGAAGACTTAGAAGCTTACCGGGAAATACTTGTAACTTTAATGGTGGCTATCAGCTCTATGAATAAACAGCAAAATATTCTTTAAAGTTTTAACACTGGAAGATAGTTTTATAGTAATGCAGAATCAAAGAAACAAATTCTTTCATGGTGCATTGTTGTCAAAAATTTACAGCATTGTGACCTGAAATAATATATCCAGGTGCTTTGATATATTTACCCCTGAAGAGCAAAAAGTTCTGAAGAAGTACAGGATGGAAAATTTTGCAGAAAAGAGACTTGTTTATAGTGAAAGACGGGCAATTGGGAAATGCCCATTAACTCCAGAAGAGGTATCATTTATGTTGCTGTCTTGCAGAGTCTTTTTTCCTCTTTTGTTGTCACATTTTGAAGAATCAAAACATTTGTTTAGTACTCCGTATCTAAAAACAAAAGGCAGAAGTCTGAAAAGTTTTTGGAAACAAGAATTTCTTGATTTCATTGTCTCCAAAAACGTTTTTAATGATCTAGGCAATGTTTATAAAACATTTAGAATGTCTATAATAATATGGTATTAATGTATCATGACAAATACCTCGTCGAATGAAAGTTTCATGTATCAGAAGTTCTTTTTTGTCCAAGAAAAGAGTATTATAACGAACTATTTAATTTTTTCATTTAACATGCCAAATCAAGTTACCAACAAGTTAAATATGAAAAAATATGTTGAACCAATAAATACATGTTATAACTGTAAACATAATCTCATGACTTTTGACAGTTAAACATGCCAAAATTTAAAATTAGGGTCTGAAGTAATATATAAACCACATACCGAAACAGATCTACCCAACACATTTCACATTTTTAAAAAAATTGAAAACAAATAAAAAAAATCTGAAAATAGAAGAAAACACGATGAATCTTTTACAATGAATGCATATATGACTCATGATAGCTTATTTCCCCAAAGAAATTTATTTCCACTGCTATTAAACTGGCGAGTGTTAGTGCAGGTTGGCCTGCTCTTGCGCGCAATAGGGTTCGACAACTCAACAAGGATATATCTAGCGGCGGGTGATCTATTCGGTGGAGAGCGGTTCATGAAGCCCTTCAGGTCCATGTTTCCTCACCTGGAGAATCATAGCACGGTGGACACCTCGGGCGAGTTATCAAAGAACAACAGGGGATTGCTAGGCTCTGCTGTGGACTACATGGTATGTCTCCTGTCTGACATTTTCATGCCAACATATGATGGTCCCAGTAACTTTGCCAATAACCTCCTCGGACACCGACTATACTACGGGTTCCGAACAACCGTAAGACCGGACCGCAAAGCCCTCGCCCCTATCTTTATTGACAGAGAGAAGGGACAGAAGCACGGGTTCGAAGAGGCCGTCAGGCGCGTGATGCTGAAAGCGAACTTTGGCGGGCCCCACAAGAGGATTTCGCCCGAATCTTTCTATATGAATTCGTGGCCCGAGTGTTTTTGCCAGAAACCGGCTACGGACAATGCCCATAAGTGCCCACCTGATGATGTTTTGGGAGTGTTGGAGAGTAAACTACAGAACAAAGTATCGAATGCGAGTTTCGTTGGCGGATAGAGATAGGCTATAAGTTTTTTTTTTTACACTTCCACAGGCATCACTTATAATCCTACTTGCCCTTATAAACAAAGCATCAATGTCTACTAGCTGGTTTATTCATGGGAACAATAATGCTAGTATACCCCGAGTTTGACACCAAATTTGACGCCAACACACTATTTTTTGCACAGAGAATAATTGTTTGGTGAGGAATTATTCTCTGTGAGGCACTAGTGGTGTCAACTTTGGAGTTATTGTAGCATGGTTCTCATTGGAGAAAGTGTACTTGCACTGGTGGCCCTCACACCATCCCTTCCATTTGCCATTGGGGTTTGGAGGGATACAAATCAAAAGGATGTGTGTATGAGTGTATCTCAGAAAAAGCTGTACAAGGGTTTTACACTTTTACCCTCGAACTTTGTACTAGTGGTTGTTTCATGCCTTTGGCCATATTTGAATTCTCCATTATGGATTGCAAGGTTAACCCTTAAGATTAAGATTGCCCCGTTGATGTTAATGTTACAAAGTGAGATAAAATAAGAATGGATCCGTATGTTTTTAGACAAATCAAATTTACAAATATGGCCAAATATAGAATTTGTTCACTTCAATTTATTCTTATTTGAATTAGTTCAGACCAGATCAGGTATGATCATATCAGAAACCACATTAAATATAATCATATTAAAATCAAATCAGAATGTTTCAGATCAAGTGAAATTCAGGTGAACTGAATAAGCCCCATAGTACGCTATCAAATTGAAAAAATAGTTAAACAAAAAAAAGATAAAAATAGATAAAAATGATGAGACAGAGAGCAATTCTTTTATAGAGTAAATAAAAACGAAAGCCCCTTCCCATATAAATCCTCTTACTAACAACTAGAAAATTGTTGTTGAGTACCCTATATTTTATGGCAAAAACTCCTAAGTTTCTTACCCAGTAACAATTTTTTGTACAGACAACATCACTATCACCAAAACGTATCTCATAATTTAAAAACTCACTTTCACTTCCCACTAAATTTGGAAAAAGAAAATGTGGCTAACAAATTAAGAATAATGTGTTTAGGATAGTTAACATTAAATTTAAAAATTTTAAATTACTTTTAGCCATATGAATATTCCTAATGACAGCATCCCAAATCTTACAAGACTTATTAAAAAATCTAGTGAAACAGAGAAAGTACTCTCTCCATCCCAAATTAAATTACTTATTTTTTATTCACAGGTTCAACGTTATCCACTTTCTTTTCCTATTTTCATTAGTTATTTGATAAAATAATATAGACATGCCACCACTAGTTTTGTAGAACTTTTAATATAAAATGATTTAAAAATAATTTCAGTCAAACATAGTAAACTGAAACATGCAATTTAAATTGGGACAGAGGGAATACATTTTCAAGGGAGAAGTGAGGGATAAAAAAGGAACAAACAAATTTGGTCAATAATAGAATCGAATAGATGGAACATGAAATAGTTTTGAGAATTTCCATCTGTACATTCTAAGGACTAGTGAGTAATGAAAGCTTGAGGTACTTCAAGTTTGCCATCTTCTTCTCACAGACAATGCTAATTCAACCAGATTAAACAGCCAAACCAATGACAGGATATCACCAAAAATCATAATAAGAGGTAAACTCTCAAAGTATCTACAAGACAACACCATACATTTGCCACACTTAGCTATTCTATAAAACGGAAACATACTCTATAAATCGTAATAAGAGGTAAACTCTCTAATAATCTGACATTTACATACTACATCTTACCCCCGGAGTACAANGGGTCTAAAAGTAATGCGGAGTATATCCAAACATGGAGGTTTAGGCAGATGTGGTGGTGCGTAATTTGTTGGCGACGTATAGCAAGTGGGAGATACTTGTGGATGGATAGTTTTGGAGTAGTTTCAGATTAGAGGTGAAATCCCCAGCAAGTAAACGCCTCCGAACGATTATCAGCATTGCGCAGCAGACTCTGAGCAGTGTTTCCTGTGCATGCACCAAATCATTGTTTACATAAGGAAAAAAATGCTCTATGATTAGGTTTTAGAACAGTGATGGGAAGATAAAAGTGTACAATTTGAATTTGGATTTAATAATCTATAGGACCAAAAACAATATATTGTGCATTTGATCTAACCTTTAAAATAAGATATAAGCTTTTTGTCCCCAAAAGAGTCGAGTTTCATTAGGGCAGTGCTTGGTACAAATGAAATGGTGTTTCGGGAAAGCCATTTTCCCATTTTTGGTAGACATGGGATTTTTATCCTTGGAAAATTGATTTCTATTGTGACAAAATTCGTTTCTTTGGGGTGAGATTTTTTTGGTACGAATGTCCGTGGTTCGACTTGAATACTTAACTATCTACCTCCTTGGAAAGAAGTGTTTTGCAGTGCAATTTCAGAGACATGTAATATCAACTTTCGAACAATTATAGACCATTGAGGATATGGGTTACAGAACTCTAAAATCTGAACCATTCTGCAGCCACAAATCTCAATGATGTGCATATATGTGCAGTATGGTCTAGAAGCATATAGCTTGTCCAAATAATTATTTTCTTTGTACCAAACACTGCCTAAATGAAACTATCTTTTCACATAAATTGTCGAAGAAAGGTCACACACAAAAAAAAGTATAAAGAAAATGAAAACTGTAAGACTAAGAGCAAGGCCCAACCTGCTACAATGAAAAAAGAAAAGAAAAAGAAAAACCAATAACACACACTTGCCTGAGGGCCTTCAGGGTCACTGAGGAGTGTGTCCCATATAAGAAGACTGTCTGCGAAATTGAATTCCTGTGTAAGAAGAAGAGTTATCCATCTGAACGCATAGAATTGTGGATTGACCTGTTTAATTCAGCATCACAGCTGACGTTAGAAGTCAAGTTTTAACTCAGGAAAGTCAAACATTCAAGTTAATGTTACCAAATAAAATCATAGATGATCTAACCCAGGTAAATGATAATAACTCATACAGTAGGTTTATAAAGTAAAACAAATTGTCCACAAAGGTTTAGACCTAAGTTAGTGTGGGCAGGTTCCGGGTCCCTAGCTAGCTAAACTACACCACGTATGGATACACCTTCGGTACTATAGTATGGAAAACATTGTATGTTTAACCCCCACCCCTTATTTATTCGCAATGCAAGTTATCTTACCATAAGAAGCTTTTCCCTTTTTGCTCCTAAGACCACTATGTTATTCTGTCTTTTGGTCCACAACTTTGATTACTTTAACTATTGGTGCACAACAATGGATTGTTGCCACTTTTGGCCCTTTCCAGCCACTAATGGGCTAATATCATCTAGAAAAGAAATTGAACGTATGCTGACCGGATAAATGGTGAGAAGAACAAACAGTGGTAATGAATAAATTGTTATCCACTCAAATGGAAAGTGTCAAGGAATCTATAACCGTGCACTAAATGTGGAAAAAACAAACGTCGACAACAAAAGTTAAGGTTTTTCAATTATATTGTTTCAGAAGTGGACATGTATGCTATATACTTCTATAGTAAACAAAAAGGTGTACATATTGGCCACTCAGAAGAAAAAAAGTTAGCAATGATTTGTTAGGAAGGCCTATACACAAATAATAGATCTTACTTTGGTTGTCACATCTAGATGACGCCATAGTTCTTCATCATGCTCTTTCAGAAGTTGTGACAATTTTGTAATTGTAGACCGGATTCCAACAACACTGTTGTCAAGTTGCTGGCAGAAATGATCCCTAAATCCACTTAGAAGTTCCACAAAGCAGAAGAATGTGTCCGCCTCAGCAGCAGCCTGCATAGCTTGCAAGTGGAAGTTGATGAGAACACTAACTTGAAAGAAAAATAAAGCTGCTACACTATAGAAGTGACAGAAGGAGACACAATAAGAGACAATCTCACCCTTCTCATTCTACACTCTACTCCCAAGCCCAAACAAACAAATCCCATTGTCTCTCTCTATGAGAGAGAGAGAGAGATCTACTTATGTGGTTGTAATCCCTCCTCATTATTAATTAATGCCTTCTTTTCCCATTAATATAACAAATGATCCCTTCGTCCCAAAAGAAGAGGCATGTTTCAAAACTTATTTTCATAAAAAAAAGAGTGATTTTCTACCGAAGAAGCTAATATGCATTGAATTTTATGTGATTTTCCAAAAAAAAAAGAAGCCTAACTAGTTAAGTATGATGATTTGCAAGAGTTGTACCTTATTAAAATTTAAAGGATGTGCCAACGAAACATGAATTTTTTTTGGACAGAGTTATATGTGTAATTATATATACACCACTTACACAAGAAAATATGATATCGTCAATCCATCAAGGTGTCAAGCTCTCAGGATGAACCCTTGTGAAGGTTCTTGGTGTTTACAAAATCAATAAAACTGGATTTCTAAATCCCTCCATCATTCAATGCTTGTATACAATGGTTTTCTATTTATACTCTTGGTACCTCAAAAAGATGAAGAGCAATGCAAGCAGAAAATGAATCATAATGGTAATGATGAATGATACTAATGAAAAGACTAACAGAGTACGTCGTTTATCAAGAGAAGCCATACACCAGCACACTGCCCATAAATTTGCGAAATGAAGCTAAAAGAAGATTTCATAAAAAGAAAAGTTCCCACAAGCTGCTTTTCACACTTGACACCCCTCAATTATGACTTATTATTGTCTAAGAATAGTGCAGTAAGGCATGCTCACTGGGATGGATCTACAGCAGTACAATACTTAAAAAGGAAACACAAAATCACTTACTGCATTTTCTTCATTCGGATCATTTTTGAACACATAATAGAGTGGTGCCAAGAGCTCATTCATCCCTTGCACATATCTTATGCCAGGATTCAGTTTTGCAAATACAATGAGGATATCCTTCAGAGCTTCCTGAAAGGAAGACATGTAATAAGCTAATTAACTGAATTTTAGACCCCTTTTAAAAAACTGAACTTTAGACTGAATTCATGCCTAACAAAGTAGATCTCACCTGATTTAATTTTGCAAAGGGTGTATCCCCAGAGAAAAAGTTAAAATCTGGGTGAGTACGCTTGACATCGCGTTCAATCTGTTCCATGATCTCGGTATCCTATAGGAGTAAAATAATTTCACTGGGCATCAGCATAACATCAAGCCAGGTAGCATTTTTAATTTATGAATGCCAAACAAGCTAACATGGTCATAAAAAAAAAGAGGAGATAAAAATGCATGGATCATACGGAGTATGTAGTATATGGCATACATATGATTACTTAGTTGCATAAAAACAATATAATCATAACAACAGCTATACTCTTTGCTTTACTCAAGATATATGATCCAGTACTAGTTATTGCTCCCTCCGTCCGGATTTAGTTCATTTCTAAATATACCTCAACTTTTAGGAAAGAGAGTAAAATAACAAAATCCTTGAAAATGCTAATATGCTCTTTTAGGGGAATTTTTTTACAAATCACAATAATTTGCTTATTAAATATTTGGCAAGTATACTATGTACAACTAATTCTTGACTCCCCAAAAAAGAAAAATGTACAATTAAATCCAGACGAAGATAGTGTAAATATAATCCATTGTAAAGCGAGAAGGCCATGATAATGCCACATATCTTTTTTGTTAGAATCGTTAGCTCTTCCTAAATTGAGAGTATGGATTCATATACTCCAGGATTCAGGGAAAATGATGCCGAGTTATTCCGTATGGAATTCACATTCAAGGCAAGCATGTAGGGCATCGTATGCACTGAGACATTTTCCATAATGTTCTGCAATGGTGCTGTTTAGTCCAGTTTTTTCCTTTATATCACGGTGCTCTTTTTTATAACCTTTCTGATTTATGATATATTTCATCCACGTAGAAATCATCCTTTGACGATGGTTTAAGAAATTTCCTCTCAATATTCATTATTACTTCTTAGATAGGTTGCAACACAAAGGGCATCTGACAATCTGGCATATACTATGAATTTACAGGTAAATTTACAATCAACTAGAACCATAAATTTTATTGCCACCAATTTTAATTAGTTGGGATTTAGTTGCAGATAATGATGATGACAATGACGCTATCTGTTTGTGAAAACAAAAACGAATATCTTACCTGGAAAAATTGGTTCCACACGCTATTTTTTCCAAGACTTAAAGGATGTTCTCCATGAGTAACTTCTGACCTTGAGAGTAAACCCTTGCCTTCACCATTCGGTTCATTAATATCAATAGTTGATTTCTCCAACCTTCTTGTAATCTCAGACTGCCTAGCCATAACCACAATCAGAATTTCCAAGGACTTCCAAAATTGGTTAAGTAATTAGAAAGTCAACAAAGACGCCAAGTTGAAGTGGTTTTGCATATAAACTGCACAAACAACCAAACTACCTTTTCTAACTAAACTGATGCATTGATTATAATAACTTACAGGGTTCATCAAAAGGTCATCCTTAAAATGCTTGTATTGGGACCTTTTCTTTGTCAACTCCAATGGCCATGATGATCTATCAATTGGAAGATACCCCAGCAGTAGCTGCAAGCAGTGAATTCACATTCTTCTATAGACATGAGTACACATAAACAAAAGATTTCTCTTGCAAAATTTTTAAATTAGGAACATATGTATCCAACAAAGAGCTATTTTTTCAGACAGTAAATTTAATTAACATTTGTACCTTCCACACTGTTGCACGAATGCCAGCTCCATCCGGTATTCCTTGCGACGCTAGCTTCCTAACTTCCCCCATGTTTATCGTCTTTCTTGACAGCTATCAAATGAAGAAACTGATAAATACTATACTCCCTCGGAGAATTGAAAATGAAGAGGTGAGTATGACATTCTGCAGAAATCAGTTCATGTGCATACTATAGAAAATTCAAAGGCATAGGGATATCAATGAATTATGCCAACTATAATAAAATAGAAAGGAAAGAAAAAATGTGCAGATTGAGGGAGAAAGAGACCACTTGACAAAGCTGTGCTTGGCGAGAAAAATCCTCCGCTGCAGCAGGGGAGGCGGATGTGGTAGAGCTACGGGCTGAGCTTTCATTGTCTTCATCACTATTATAATTATTACCGCATAACGGATCCCTAATTTCCACTTTATGACGGCGCGCGTCTGTTTTAATTGCAGGCGGAGGCGCAGGGATCACCGGCCGCTCGACCGGATAATCAGCTCCAGTCTTCGTCGATTTGGTGACGGAACGGGAGGGGCGATCGGCGGCATCCTCGCCGCGGATTGCAGACGGCGGAGGAGCTGACGGTTGTTGTTGCAGCAACGGGGAAGGCGTCTCGGCAGGAGGAGCCGGAGAAGACCAGAGGGAGCTGTTGAGCCAATCGGGGACTTGCCTCTTAACCATCTCGATTTCCAATACCCTCACAGCATGTATGAAGAAATCGGGAGGAAAAAAACCGGCGAAATCAGGAGTTAATACAGGAACCGGAGAGCGACGGAGGCGGTGAGTGGATGATGGCGGCGCTTGGTGTTCGGAAGTCGTGAGTCGGGGATTCCGGCGACGTCGCGCCGGCGATCAGTCTATTGCCGGTGAAGAAAGTATGAAAATTGCTTCCGTTATGTCGCTTGAGGTCACGTGGAGTTGAATGGGGGCACTTGGCACATGCAACACTTTACACTACCAAAAATGTCATTTTCACTCTACAAAATAATATTTGTGCAACAAAAAAATGCACCAAACTTACATATTTTATTACAATAATAATCTTGAAAGGACAATTTTGTTGTTCACTTTCTCTAGTTTACATAATAATGATAATATCATAAGCTGAGTATGGAATACCGAGTAGCTCTACAACAATAACAACAACAATCTCTTAATACCGAGTACTTTTGAAATCTAAAATAAATGATGTGAGTTTTAAAGTTTGAAACAAAAATATTTAGAAAAATTTGAAATGATTGTTGTTGGCGACAAAAGGTGGTTTGATGATGAATGATTTTAATATCGAGAAATCAGTTATCAAAACATTTACAAAATATATTTTGCGCTCACGAAATATATCTTTAACTTATACTACATATTAAGTTTTTATGATTTCATCATGGATTTGCAAGTTTCAATTTCTCATCTATAGCTCCAAAACTATACTTGTTTGTCTTTAATTTGTGAACTTCAAGAGTTTACAAAATAAAAAATTGATGTGAATCAATTGCATTAAACAATTATTTGAAAAGCTTGAACATAGTACATTATCTTCTACATTTTGCTTCAACTCTCACAACAATTTCATGTTTTCCATTGTGACCTTCTTTAAATAGTTTTATTTAAAGTTAATGTCGTGTGGTATAAAAAGTGGAAGAAGACTCTTCCATGCTTTTAACTGCGAAGACCAGTGCCATTTTGCTAGATTATCTTCTTTATTTTTTACAAACTTCACATTTTTGCGTCGTATGCGCATAGTTTGCGTGTTTCACGTTTTCATTAAAGGAATTATTAGTTATGCAATAATTTATTTTACCATAGAGATTATTTCATAATTTTTTAAAATCTAAAGACCATTTGACGGAGGGTAATCCCATGTCACGCTGGTAGTAGGCCCCAGGACCAGACCCCACCGCCCAGGTAAGCTCAAACGGGTCCCACAGGTTCAGCTCTGTCATGAGGATCGGTCCGGTGGACTCGGCTTGATCCAGCAAGCTCAGCTCGGTGAGCTTAGCAGCTCCGTTCGGTCCAGGGAAGATCCATGCTCAAGTCCACCCCACTACGTGAACGCACTAAAAGGGGATTAGACGTCCCGTATACCCCCAACCGCTAAAGACACAGACTAGACGACAAGGAAATCTCACGGGAAGCCGAATAACACGAGAGGCCACGACAAGAACTAGACAACAAACAAGTGTAAATCACGGTTATTACCGTGGTAATAGTAAAGAGGCTATAAATAGCATCCGTCCATGGCATTGTAATGGATCCGAAATCAAGCAAAACTTCTACTTTGGACTCTCTCTCTCTCTTCCTTTTCCTTGCTTACTCAACTCACCCAACCCTACAGTCGGCCTACTCAGTGGTTTATCACCATCAGCATTTACCTATTTAAGAAGATAAAGAAGACAGAGATAATATATATTTTCAAAAATCATATTTTGTTACTTCATGTGCCCACTTTGATTCTTCTCATTTGAGTATTCAGGTTCTTCAATGCAACACTTTTTTAGGTTTTTCAATGCAACAATTTTTTTGAATGGTCCGTTACAAGCAGGCCTACCATAGTAAGCCCAATCTAAGGCCCAACCCTATAAGTTCAATAAAAGCCCAACCTAAAGCCCAACCTCATAAGTCTGCATCTACTTCCCAAGAGGTCACGCACCTGTCATTTTTGTTACTCAAATGCCAATACGCTTAACTCTTTGAAAATACGCCCAAAGTTATCTCTTCTGAGGATCGAACTTGTGTGGTAAGGTTCTCCATTTAGCCTTGTAACCATCTCTTCAGTTCAATATTTTTGTAATTTATAGTCAAAGTTTAAAAATATTTACCATGAAAATCAAACTGGAATGAATCGAATTGGAAAAAGAGTGTACTATATAATGTAAATATTTATCTCATTTATCATAACCAAAATTCATTCAATTTAACTGTCAAAATTTAGATTAGAAAAATACACTAAGATAAAAAGTAATATAGACTTCTATATTCGAATATTTATGGAATCAAATAATTATGTATTTGTATTTGTTAACGCCCTTTTATTCTTTGTTACTATTACTTGGTCAAATTTTAATCATTTTCTTTATATATTTTCACTAGTGACTTGATAAAATAAAATAATCATATCATCTCTTGTTTTATGAATCTTTTATTGTAGTTTTTAAAATATATTTTTTATTATTTTATTTTACACCTATAATCAAATAAATAGTGTGAATAGAAAATAACTTCGGTCAAACCTCGTAAACCGAAACAGGAAGAAAATTTTAGAATCGAAGGAGTAACAAATAACAAATACTACTTATATTTGTATTCATATTTGATTTTTTGAAAATATGATTTAATACAAACAGTTATGAATCACAAATCAAATCAAAATAATTCGCTTCATTCACAACCATGCATCCATTGGAGTGGCTCCTTGTGAGTACGAGACACAAGATAAATTCTCTAAGGATCAGACTAAGATTATATCATGATTTACAATAAACCGTGTTATTGCAATTGATGATAGGAAGGAATTGAAGGATAACAAATGCATATGACAAGGACTAATGTACAAGTTCATTTAATCAACATGGGTTTGATATATATGTTTTATAACCATTGATGAATTCTATGATCTAATCCTCCAAATCACATGCAAACACAAAAGCAAACGACAGGCTAAGGTGGTCAAAACGACACCCACCAAAAACCAAACAACATAGTACGTACACACACTAGTCTTTTGCAAGCTGTATTTTGCATGCGATGGAGCGCCATACGCCCTTTTTTTGTTCACATGCTCATGGAACCTTTTAACCTCTAAGATCTACTCGCTCCGTCTCAATTTTGATTACAATTTTATTTTCTCTTTTTTCTTGATAACTTTAATGTTGTGCCAACTTTTTTTTTCATTTTTAAACAATAGCTTATAGAACTGTATCTTCTTTTTTATTTTTTTGATTTTCATTTTTTAAATAGATTTTATATCCATGTTTATATAATTCATATGGGCTTGGCTCGGGCGTTGGTCACAACTTCTTCTAAAATGGACAGGCTTAAACGGAATATGACTCATTTTATCTAGACGGGTAAAATTAAACTTGGGTTTAGTAACTTCTACCCGAGTAGTAATTATTGGTATAACCTCCGTCCTGCCCAAACTTGATTCATGTCCACTAAGATGTGCAATTGGTATGCAAAAATAGAATGCTACACTGTGAAATGGAACAATTCAATCAATCAAAAATAATTCATTCAGCGTGGGACAAGTGAGTGGCATGACATTTGATGCAGTGGAAAATCAATGTTTTTACTTGTCTTTTTTCATAAAAATAGATGAACTCCTTATAAAAGAAGTCTTCTTTATCGTACAATAAAAATAGCAAAAAAATTGGGAATAGTTTGCCTCGCCCATGACTTTCAAACCATGGAGGAATAGTGATGCCATGCGAGGCACAAGGAAACTGAGGTGGCGTGGAAGGCAATGTCTCGCCGCTTCCTTTGCTCTAATATGTCATTTGTCCATGGTCATAATTCGTGTAATTTTTTGTCTCATAAAACCTTTCAACTTACATTTTTTACTTGTTCAATAAATATTTTAATTTGGACTAAGTGGATATAAATGCCCTTGTTTCAACTATCTTAAGTCCTCTCCACTATGACATTTCTCTTCTCAAATTCTCCGCGCTTCAATTTTCGTCATTTCCCTTTTCTCAAACTTCTATACTTCCCCTTCCAAAAATCAAAACTGGAAAAATCACTAGCTTATATTGCATGTTAATAGAAGAAAAATCATTAGATTTATCATAGACGCCATACCTTAGCCAATAGATGTACTCTAGTTTCCATATTTTAATTTTCCAGGCTCCAAATTTCAATCTCCAAAAATTCATATCATATCATCCAAACCAAATGTCTCCGACCTAAAACCTTAACGACAAAGTCTTAAGGCAAAAAAAAGTACGTTTGCTTTTCTAATGTCTTCGGATCATTAATTGTACTTTTTCTTGTCAAATTCATTTAATTAACAACCATGTTATGGTACACCAAAAAGTGTACCTAAAGAAATACACCGACATTTAAGATGGCACCAAAAAACAAAGAAATACACCGACATTTAAGATGGCACCAAAAAACATCCACATATAAGTTGGGGAATGATAGAGGTATCCAGAATTGTACATCATTTGTATACCAAAAGTAAACACATGTTTGTGCCCCAACATAAAATGCATGTGTTAAAATATTTTCCCCATAGGTTTAAAAGAAAAAACTTAGAAGTTTTCACAAATAGGAAACTAATGAGTGCAAGTAATGACTTGTACTTACATCATGCGTGTTGGTTTTGGATACACATGAACGCTAGAAAAGTGTCTTCATCCTCTAGGAAATCCATATTTATGAAAATTTAAATGGGGTTGGAACTATAGGATCATTGGAAGTGGGCATGAAAAACCATAGTGAGAGTGAACACAAATGGTTCTCCAACCAACCAAACAATCACCAACTCGAGCACATACTTAGGCCATGTGTTATGGAGGAAACTTAGACGGGCTTGATGGTGTTTAAAGAGATATGATGTAAAATGATAAAAATAATATGTATGTTATTGTGAGTGAATGGAAGTGATGGGATGTGAATGTTTTAAATTTTGACTAGTAGAAAGAAAAAGAGGGTCGGGATGGAGGTGATCAAACCTTAGAGAGAATAAAAAGCTTAATTTAACTTAATAGTTGACAAAATGGTTGTGGGCATAAAGAACAAGCAATGATCATAACACAAATAACACACCACTTAGCAATACACCAACTAGTTTACTTAATAAGGAAGTCTCACATGATCAAAACCATCAAGTCATGATTTCTCATCCAAACATATTTAAATCAAACTTTCAAGAAAACTTCAAAAAACAGGAACATAGTCATCCCAACATACCAAAAACCAAAAGCTTAAAAGAGGGAATGACAAGAAGGTCTTCAGCGCAGCCTCCGGGCTTCCCTCTCAGACTCCAGAAGAGTTAGGATGTCGCCCTCTCGGACTGGTCCCTTCACGTTCCTCATGATAAACCTATTGGAGTCATCATTAAACTTGACTCTCACCTGGGTCACTTGACCCCGGGATCCGGTGCGACCCATCACCCTCACCACAACAGCATACTTGATTTGGTTATCCATCTGTGAACAACACCAAGAAATAACAAATATGTTTCAGTTGGAGCCCAATGAATGTGATCATCTTGATAATAAAAATCAGGCAATTCATTTTCTGTTCTATTACAAAGCACGATACGTCAATATGCAAAGGGCAATGATAAGAATCTTAAGTGAAAATCAAAATACAATCTAAAAGCATGAATTTCAGATTCTGTGCAATCTTGGGAGATGATCACTTCAAATACTGATTAAAACACCCATTTTCCAGCAGAAAAATAATCAAAACTGGACATAATGCATAAATTTCAAAACATATCATCTAAAAGCATAAATATCAGATTCTGGGCAATTAGCTACTCTGAACAGTCTAGTCATATACTGCTCAATTAATGCAATCCTACAAGGTTAAACATCAAGCATAATTCCAGAAACAGAATCTGCAAATCTGAAAAACACTCGCCACACATGAAAACTTCAAAATTCAGAGAAACATTAGTTCGAAAACCGCGTATTCAAATTTCACAGAGAATCCAAAACAGATTCAACCTTACATATTCAAAACTGAAATCATCGATTTAACCTTACATATTCAAAACTACGAATGGAAATATATGAGTAATCGATTTAACCTTGCAGATCCTGGTTCTCGCCGCCGCTGCTCAAGGGAAGGGAGGAAGGTGAATCCAAATGCTCTCGCCTCGAGTACGTAAGTCTGCAATCTGAAGAACGGAGAGAGGCGCTAGGTTAATAACAAGATAATGTAGGGTTTCAGAGCAAAGGAATTGGGCTTGCAGGAAGAATGAGACTTGAGCCCAATAGGAATTTCTCTTCTTCTTTTTCCTTAACCAAAAAATCTGCCCGAAACTAAACCCGCAATTTACACTATAATTATTAGGAAAATACTACAGTATAATCACAACGTATTTATGAATTTAAGTCTTTATTTCAAACTTATTTGAGGATATTTTATTTTTTATTTGGCTCACAAATAAAATGTGAATTACGGAATTTTGTACTCCGTATTTTTTTGTTTTGGACTTTAGTATTTTTCTCATTTATTTTTAACAACCACAACCCCACAAAATAATATTTCGAGAGGATGTCTATATATAGATATTATCTCTACTCGAAATTATAGATGTTGTTTCCAATAAATTTTAAACAAATTTTTAGTGCGACCAAGTTCAAAGCAAATTCTTTCTTGATCTTTAGGTACACACTCATTTTATAAACTTAATACATAAAATGACTATCAGTTGGACTGTATAAAAAGGAAGAAATCCATTTATGAGTTTATTGAAAATATATAACTACATTTGACATGTAAATCTTAAAATCATAAGAAAATATTACAAAGTATCTCACATTAGAACTTATAGAGAAAATGAATCGGTATATACGCTTTTGAGTTGAACTAAGTAATACTTCATTTTTGAGTATTTATCCACCTTTGACTTTTTTGTCAAAATTTTTAAACTTTCACCTCAAATCAAATAAAAATGATATTAGATATTAATACAAAAATAGTTTAATTAGATTTGTAATATCAAATATTTTAAAAGTATTATTTTATCTAACCGATATATAATATATCTTTTATTTAATTATAGATCAAAGGTTGAAAACGGTTGACTGAATAAGTCAAAGTTGGACAAATACTCAGAAACGGAGGTAGTATATATGATTCAATTTTTTAATGTCTTTCAACCTAAGTATTTTATTGCCCAATCTAGTTATCTCTATCCCATTCTAAACTTTATCATGATATCAAAGCCAAATATAATGGTTCTTCAGCTGCATTCAACACTTCTAAAAATCGATCAGACAATGTATTAACATCATCAGTGTGTTGATGAGATGATGAGCTCGGAACATCATTAACATGAGACGATTCATGAAAGGCAGTAAGTGCCATAGCATTATACACAATCTGTTGGTCTCATGCCATGTTCTCATAATTACCCCATGCTGAAACTGACTCTGAAACTACTCGAGAACTTCCAACAATCTGAGGAAAATATGACGGACTCAATACTTCACCATGACAATACCAAATATAATAATTTTCAATAAAAGCTTAATTGTATAGATGCCAACACAAATCATCCTTTGTAACAAAGTGCATATTTTTACATTTCTCGCAAGGACATCGAATTTTCCCTCTAGGTGTCAAACCACGTTAATGGGAAATAATACGTGGCTTGGCCCACATTTCCCAATTATTCACGGAGAACAAACATACCGGGCATGTTTAATAAAATGGAGGAGTAAGAGAATATTCCCCGAATACGTTTTCCCTCCTTTCTATAAAAAGAGGGATTACCCTTAATACTAGGAGGCCAATTCATTCCCTCTCTCTGCCCAATTCTCTCTAGATTATTTTGTAGTATACTTTTTCCTTCTTCAAGAGCTCAAATGATCCAATAATGGCTTCTTAGCCCAAATCGTGTACCATATAAAACTCTCGATATTAATAAAAATCTCTCGTTAGCAAGGTATCGCCAAAAAAGGCTCGTGGTTTTCTCTCGATTTGGGTTTCCACGTCAAAATCCTTATTTTTATATTTTGGTGTATTTTTAAGACTAATTTATCATTTTTACCCGGCTAAAAACGATACATCAGTAGATAATATACACCATGTCACCATCATTTTGGTACCGACCGTGGGACCCAAACCAAAAGCCACGATTCTTTCTCTGTCAATGCCTCTTGCCCTTTCCCGATAAGAGAGTGGTGTCGGGGAGTTGAAGTTAAGTTTTAAGAAAATTTTATTTTGGTCTGATCCAAACAAACAAACAAACAAATTTGGGGGATACTAAGACAACTGGGGGACACATATCAGAGAGATAGAGAGAGAGTGTGGGAAAGAAATCATAGGACACAGTGATCTATTTTTCCTCTCCCCAGGATGACGAAGCCTCTAACTCCTTCTGCATGGAGAATGTGGGAAATATCTCGAGAATGGGGAAAGATCTGGAGATCTGGTTAATGTTTGGGCCTTCCCATTCTAAGTTTCTAACAGGATAAGTTCAGGCTTAAAAAAATATTGCATCCAGGCAAATTCAATATCACGATCCCACATTGATCCACTACAAATTTTAGAAGGAAGACTGAGACACAGACTAGTTACTACACGGCTCTTGCTCTGTATAATAAGAAAATATAGATAAACCCAGAAGAGGGGCCCCGGATAAGGGGTACGCTTGTAATTAGGCTGGACCTGGAAGAAGTTTCGAAACCGTACTCACACAGTCCTATGAAATCTGGTCAGGAAGGGAGACCATGCTGGAATGGTCAGACTAGTGAGGAAGCAAAAGATGCCCATATAAAAGAAAAGAAGAATAGTTCATCGCAGTGGTTCTTAAACCGGTTCTCAGCGATATCCCCCTTCTCAGGAAAGACTTGACCGGATGAAGGATCACGTCCCTAGCCTCGGGATAGAATATATAAGGGCCATAAAGGATTTAATCACTAGAAGAAGGGGCCCTGGAAGACGGGTACATTTTGGGCCTTGGAGAGGTCTCGAAACCATCCGACATGGTTGATCTCGCCCGACCAGCAGCATTATCTTAGAGGAAGACTAAGACACAGGCCCAGCATGCTGGTTACTACACCGGTCTTGCTCAGTATAATAAAATATTAAATATGTGACACATGGCCAACTTGGAATGCTGGTAAAAATGGTTCTCGTTCAAATGAAGACCAAAAATGATATACACACCGGTCTTGCACATATTTTCTCTTAAGTCTGAACCCAATCAAATTAGGTACACCGATGTCTCAGCTGAGCTTTTATCGGGGACGTCCGATTCTTCAAGCCTTTTAAATAAGGCACTCTGAAGGTGGTCTCTGCATCACATGAAGATACTTGAATCAGTTAGCCGGGCTAACATCGATCTTCGACAAAGCTGCTGCTGCATACTTGATTCGTACTCCCTCCGTTCCAGAGTATTCGTCCAGTTTTGACTTTTGGAACTGTTCATCATCTAAGCACTTTGACTCATCAAATTCTCTCAATGTGTAAGCCTAAATATAGTCATGTGTGATCTTGTTTGATTTGTCTTAACATATACTACCTCCATCCCAGAGTATTTGTCCACTTTTATTTTTACACACCATCCAATGCACTTCTTTAATCCATTTTATCTTGTAATTTATATATTAAAAAATTATAGAAATTATATATTAATAATCTATATATTAAGACAAATCAAACAAGATCACTCATGACTATATTTAGGCTTACACATTGAGAAAATTTGATGAGTCAAAGTGCTTAGATGAACAGTTCCAAAAGTCAAAACTGGACGAATACTCTGGGACGAAGGGAGTAGATTATTAATATATAATTTCTATAATCTTTTAATGTACAAATTACAAGATAAAATGGATTAAAGAAGTGTATTGGATGGTGTATAAAAATGAAAGTGGACAAATACTCTGGTACGGAGGTAATATTAAGTAATATCGATCTCTTTGATATACTAGTTTCGTTACACATCGCTTGCTTGATACGTACTAACTACGGTCTTGACAAAATAACTACTTGAAACACCGCTGCTTCATCGTACTAACTCCGGTATCGCATAACTACTCGAAGCATCGTTGCTTTAGCGAATTGACATCGCTCTCATTAAGATAGTTATCCGCGTGTATTTTAATCACCCTAACACCGAGCTCATCGGTAAAAATAATAATTATTTGAGCACGACATAGGCCGGTCAAAAAATGTTGTACGTATTATATTTGCAAAAAAAACATCTGATTCAAGAAATTAGATAATTAATGAAGACTCAGAGAACTAGTAATATCAACTGGTCAAGAATGCAAAAGTACAAAGACTGAAGATAGCACTCGATGGAAAAAAGTGGAGGACTTTTTTATGGGAAATAATATGTGGCTCTCAACTTAAAAAAGTGGAGGACTTCTTGATGGGAAATAATATGTGGCTCGACACACATTTCCCAATTATTTTCGAAGGACAATTAAATCGAGCTTGTTTAGTAGAATTCAGGAATAATAGAATATTCCGCCAGAGATGCCCTCCATACTTCCTATAAAAGAGAGGATTTGCCCTCAAAATGGAGGAGGCCAATTTTTACTCTCTCCCCTGCCTACTTCCTTTCTCTCTCTAGAATTCTTGTAATTTATTTCGTCAAAATAAAGAAGCTTCAAGCTTCCATTAATAGCTTCTAAGCCGAAATTATGTACTATGTACACATCCCCGATAGTAATAAAAATCCCTTGTTGGCAAGGTACCTCCAAAAAAGGCTCGTGATTTTCTCCCGATTTGGGTTTCCACGTCAAAATCGTTATTTTTATAATTTGGTGTATTTTTAGACTAGTTTAGCATTTTTACCCGACTAAAAACAATATACCGGTCGGTAATTTACACCATCACACGTTTAAGCAAATCATTTTTGTTTTACATCTGTCATCCAACTTCTAGATGATATTGCCATGGTACATGATTCACAACTGCTGTAAAAAAAATTTAAATATTTTAAAATATAATCTTAGCACCTCCTAAAATTAAACTCAAAAATTCAAAAATAAAACATTAATAGAATGATATCTAGAATATATTTTTATTAGAACTAAACTTGCATCTTTGTTACATGAGTGAAAGAATAGGACCTGGGCACGGACTTAGGCACGCCCCAAGCCCAGGCAAATCTGCTCACAATGTCTAATCAAGTCAGATTTCTCTCTTTAGGCACGGAACTTTCCCTGCCATGTTCGTGCCGACCTGCAAAATCAAATTTATAAAGAGTATAGTATTGCAAACAAGGAATAATTAATCATATTTATTTGATAATTAAGAGTTACTTTTCAATTAAATTATGTATAAATATTAAACTCCCGACAAACTCTCTTTCCCAATCCCTACCCGAACTGACCTCATACTTCCTTTAGTTGCACCCCCACCCTCCACTACCCACAAATTTCAAAGCTCGCTTAACACTTCTATTTTTTTAATTTTATTTTATTTTATTTTTTTCAAGGATAAGATGTAAATTATTAGTATCCAAGAGTCAATACAAAGTACATCCACAAAGTAAACATACAATGCATCGGGACATACCCCTGTAAAATCAAAAAGAGAGAATGGCACACATGCCAAGGGACGCACGCCCATCAACAAAACATGAGTAAACAAGTACAAGCACAAGGAAAATGAACACCACGCAGAACATGACCATCACATCCCCAGGTCCTATCTCGTCCTCACGCGTCATCATCCTCATCGTATTCCTCAAAAGCACGATCATTCAAAATATCCTCCGAAGGTATGGGTTCGTTCCTTCATCATTGGAACATTTAAGCGTCCATGGTCATGAGAGCCTTGGTAATCATCAAGACACCAAAACCGGAGGGTCACAAGCGTTAATGACTGCCACTACATCAACATAGACACCAAAACCGGAGGGTCACAAGCGTTAATGACTGCCACTACATCAACATATCCCTCAGCAATGCTAGGATCATCAGGTTCACCCTCAGTTTTGAAATGTCGTACCCATGAACGAAGGAGACACCATTGCCAAATGCCAGAGGTTATGGTACTAGTATCCACATCAGACTGGGTATGGCATCACCATGCTCATGCAAAAAAATTGACCCAAAAAGAGAGTGAAGGTCAAAGGTGTGATGGTGGGAATAGCCATGCATATGTCCTTCTCCTCCACACAGGTCACAAGGTAGCCCGGGTGGTGAAGTCCATAAGCCACCACAACATCACCACAAGAATCTGCCCCAGCCCAGACCGGCAACTAATATGGTTGAAACATAATTACTTCGAATCCATCCCTTTTGTGGTGTTGAAACATTGGAGCCCAAGGCTCAACAATGGTTTCCATTTCAGTTGATGTTCAAAAAGAAGGGGTAGAAGTGTGACTCGTGGCAGCTCAAAGTACAGCAATTCCCATGACCAGCAAGGTTCAACCCCACCAAAATCAGAATTGGAACCATGTACAACAGCCCCAGCGTGAAGACTCTCTAGCCATGCCAAAACAGAAGTTAGGTGCTGTCCAAAGAGCAAAATCCAGCGCAGTGATTTTGGGAAGTGTTCAGTGAAGTTTCTGGGCAGTGAACCAGTTGGTGAAGAAACCACAGTCAGCCCCAAAACTTCCGTAACCAAACCACAGCAAACAAAAGTCACCCAGTGCAAGGGATAAGGTTGGTCTGCCAACAACCTCTGCATGCCATCCCATCCCTCAAGAGATTGACTTCAGCAAACAAACAGCACAAAGGAGTATGCTATTCGAAAATGGCAGCAATGAAAGTGCCAACAGCAGCTTAAAGTGGCTGTCCAACGAAGTAGCCTAGCCAAACCCAGTGATGCCACTGCCCAGCCCTGGAGAACAGCAAAACATAGCCTAAACACCACAGGAGTTGGTTCAAGCCACACAGAAACAATTCCAAGTGGCTGGTTGTAACCCATTCCACTTAACAAAACCATAACAGCTCCATGAACAAAACCAGAGAACCTGGCCAGTCCAAATGAGAACCTGGGCAGCTCCATGAACAAAACCAGAGAACCTGGGCAGCTCCATGAACAACTTATATCATTTCAATCCTGTAAAAGTCACCAAACAAGCCATTCATATTTATTTCTTCCATTTTTATTATTATAGACACCAGTAGCCAATTGATCTCAATAGCCACCTTTTATCCGAGCCACAATGGATGGAAAAGCCTCACAAGAGACCAAACAAAAATTGTTGGATATTAATCTCATCTTGCAATAAAAATATGAAACAATTTCCACAAAAAAAAGTAGAAATGAGAAGGTTAGACTGGAATCATATGAGTGGGCATTTGTGTTCAACAGAGGGAAAAAAGTTTCCAAATGAGCCCCTCTTCTATTATGAACTTAAAGAAGTGGCACATCTTTGCTACTGAGAACACAACTCGTCCAGCAATCCAAATGCAGGCAAAAGTCTTCTTTCACGAAGATTCGAATCGATTAATAGGCCCCACGTGCAAGGGTCGGGCTTGAATCCCACGTTCACCAATCCATACAATGCGAATGCTGCCTCGACAAGTTTTCCAGATTCACAGAATCGTACCAACAGTTCGTTTGATGTGGCGTGGTGAGGCCAAAAGCCCCTCCTCAGCATCATTCCCAACAACTCCATGGCCTTGTCCAGTTCACCTTCATTGCAAAGCACATTCAACACGATCCGGTAACATCCCTTGCTAAGGTATACTACCCCCTCCTTAGATAAGCTCTCCACTAAATGCAAAGCTTCATCCCACTTGTGATCCTTGCACAATGCTGCAAGTATAATCCTAACTGCAACATCATCGGATATGCGACCGTTTTCTTTCATCTTCTCAAGCAAGTTTACGGCTACATCAACTCTGCCGCACTTACACATGCAGTTTATAAGAACTGTATAGGAAACCGTATCAAGTTTATTGAAATAACCCTTCATTTCAGTGAAAATCGCAATGCACTCGTCTAATCTTCCTTGCTCACAGCATGCATGCATCAAGGTTGTGTAATTAATGGAATTCGGTGGGCACCCGTTCTTTCGCATGAAATCCAATATTCTCCTACCTTTTTCGATGTCCCCTCCTTGAGAAACCCATCTTATTAAGATGTTATAAGTCAGAGCATCAGGTATTATCTGATCTTTTGAGACCATTTCTTCAAACAAGTTGATTGCCTCTTGGATTCTTCCACACCGGCACAGCCCATCCATGAGTGTTGAGTATGTGATCAAGTTGGGATAAGAAACTTGTGACTTCCTCATCTCTTTAACCACTTCAAACGCTGCCTCAAGATCTGCATTCCTGCAATGATGTTTGACAAGTATGTTGAAAATGCACGCGTTGGGCTCTAAATGGAGATTTTCACGGGCATGTAATAGAAACTGCTTAGCCATATGAATCTTGTTGGCTTCCACCAAGAGATTGAGGCACGTGCTAATGGCCCTAAGAGTTGGTCTTTGACGTACGATTGGCTCAATTGCATTAAACGAATCCAGCACCTTTTCATGAAGAGATGACTTCGAGAAATGCTTCATGAGGTTAATGAATATACCTTCACGGAATTTACAAGTCTCATAGGACATCTGGTGAAGAACAGCATCAACCATCTCAAATCTTTTGCAAGCAGCCAGTTTGTGGAGGATAATACCGTATGTGGCATTGTTGTGATTAAACCCCTCTTGATCAGAAACCATGTTGAAGATTTCCAGTGCATGCTGTGGATCATTCTCGCGCCTTATTAATTTAATTGCCACTCCATGAGATACAAATTTCTTTTTCTTAATCTTAGGTGTTTCATTTGTGTTGGTAGAGGTTTCTATCAAGGCAGAAGCTTTTCTTGATGTCTGTTCAAGTTGTTGAAATGCAGACAAAGAGTGGAAGTATTGACTTCTAAGAGCCCAATATATCATCCGATTCATATGGTATTCTCGATTAATGACAGAGGCTCTTTAGTTTAAGTGCTCATATTCACCACCCAAGTGTTCTGGAAAAAAAAAGCATATGCATAAATTAGTGATAAATCATTTTAGTCAATAAATTGAGACTAAATTAGTACATTTCATGAAACCAATCCCAATCATATAAAGTTTCACTTAGTTGTGCTAGCAACCAAGATTGCACATTCTAATGACACAAAAATAGTTCCAACAATCCAAGTGGTGCACAAGTGTGTGAAGGCATAAACAGATAAACACGAAATGGTAAAAAAGGCCATCCTCTGATTTGGAAACCCATAAAGGACACACCAATCCCATAATAACCCCAATTCTGTCTGTTAGACCCTAGAATGCCTTGAGGCATTGCTGCCCATGGAAAATTTAAAGGAAAACAAACAAGCAAACAAATAAATAAGAACTTCACTGAAGTTAGCAATTAGATGCTTGGTGTCCAGTATATTTAACACTTTAACAGAAGGGTTTTATACAACTAATTCATCTATGAGGTATGAAGCATATATTTCCAACCCATGAGTAGATACATTGGCCGAGGCTGTAGAGATTTTTTTGGCTGTTTTAGAAAATTAGCTGTTACTAGTTTGGGACAATGTAAAGCCCTCACTAGTGAAGAACTCAATTGAGGTAAAAAGATAAAATGTGACTTGCGTAAGCTAACACTCGTGGGCTCACACAAAGAATATCTATTTTTGTGCAGTAATATTTGTTACATTGATTGAGTAAGACTTTTTGAAATAAAAACCCTCAGAAATATACGCCTTTTGTAATATCCTACACACACACGCACAGGAGTTTATGTACCGATTGTCCCAAAACCTTTACCCACTTTTTTGGATGCCCGAGAACGCAATCACGTTATTTCCTACTCCGTATTAAGTAATGAACACGTGGGTCACAACAAGTTTTTTAGGGCAGAGGAAGTGTGTGTTTAGACATACGTGATATAACAGAAGGGCAGCAGAAACATAATATAATACAGGGTAAAAGACAGTGAAGAGAGAAAAAAAGTCAAAAACAAAGATGTAAAAGAAAAAACACAGAGTAACAAAAATGAAGTGAATAAGAGAAGAGAGAACATATACGGATATACCTTATATGAAACAAATTGATCTGATACCACTAATTTCATTATTATTATTATTATTATTACAAAGTATTTATTAATTTTAGATAATTTAAGGGAATAAAAACATAGAAAAAACTTGACAATTGACATGTTCAAGCCAAATAATGAATCTATTAAAGGGGTAAACCAATTATAACAGCGAAGAAAAACATGATTAGTTGAACGAAGAATTTATGGTGTCATTGGTGTGTGCCAAAAAGCAAACCCCTTAAACACAAATCATCTTTTCATGTCAAAACATTAGAATCCCACCCCAACATACCATCTTGTTCTATTTTTTCTATTTGGAGGATGTGAATACCATTTTGGAGGACTTTTTCTATTGAGTGTTTGGTATTGATTTGAGAGTAAGAAAGAGAGGTTGTAGCAAGCCATAGCCTTAGTACTGTTTATTACTCCGTACTACTAAATAAGAATGTTTGGAATAGATCTACCAGCTTAGCTTTGAGATGAGTTAGTTCTTCAACTTTTTAACCTCTAAGAAAATCAAATTTAGATCATTCCAAAGAGCACAATAAAAAAATGAGTAATAAACAAATAAACAAAGAACAAAAAACAATAAATAAAGAGGGAGGAGTGTCCCCCTCCAACTGATTACAGTATTAATTCGATTCATTTTTCTAATGATTAATACATACTTTTTCTTTTATGTTTGTAATTAAATAAAAGTTAATAAACAATTCAAATGAAAAGTAGGATTTGATAAACCAATAATAACATTCACCAAATAATCAATCATCGCCTAACAAAAGCAATTGTTCATCGAAAACATTCATCGGAAAAAAAATTGAGAGAGAAAAAAACATTCAATTAATCGGAAGCAAAAAGGAGAGGAATAGATTAAAGAAAGTATATACCTAGAGGGTTCAGCCGCAGCACTATTAGCCAATTGGGAGGAAGAAGAAGAAGAAGGAATGTATCTTCTCTTCCGTTCTCAACTCTCTGCGTTGCTTCGGTTTTCTAGTTTGGGCCGTCACTTCTCTTTCTTTTTAATTATTTCACTTATTTACATTGGGCCTGATTAATATATAGGCTCTATTTAATCTCTTTTGAAATATTTTGTCAGATTTTACATTTAAATTAAGTTTATTCTTGTGTTCAAGAGTTCTCTAAGTACTCCCTCCGTCCCGGAATATTCGTCTAATTTTGACTTTTGGAACTATTCATCTAAGCACTTTGACTCATCAAATTCTCTCAATGTGTAAGCCTAAATATAGTCATATGTGATCTTGTTTGATTTGTTTTAACATATAGATTATTAATATATAATTTCTATAATTTTTTAATATACAAATTACAATATAAAATGGATTAAAGAAGTATATTGGATGGTGTGTAAAAATGAAAGTGGACAAATACTCTGGGACAGAGGTAGTAATTAACAAGAGTGTTAAGATTTGATATACTTTTATAGAGTAATTGGTTTCTTTGAATATTGGGTGTCAATGTAGCCAAAGGATTTTACTTTAAAAGACATCGAGTTCACGTGGTAAGTTCATTCAATTAGTCACGAGGGTGTTGTGGATGCAGGTAGCAATTAAGGAATGGTGCAGATTGAAGTGGATCCACAGTCAAAATAAGATCAGTAATTTAGACCTTTTAATTACATTCCAAATATTGGGCAAGTTTGCAAATATTGCTGATTATTTTTTGAATAAATTCCATAAATGGTCGGGTTTCCATATTTAGTCCTCTATTATCAAATATTACCCCCGTAGTCTTTATTTTAAGGGTACATTTCCACAAATGGTCTTTTTTTTGATCTTCTGCCGTGTTGGTGTTAATTTCAAGGCTAAAAGTATAATTTGACGTCAACATTATGTCTAGTGACGTGTTCTGATATTGGTTAAGCAGATAACACAAAAATAATGACTATGATTGTGGGCTCGGATTGTGACGAAAGATCACATTTGTAGACTATAGTTGTCGTAAAAAGCAATTGTAATTCACAAATGACGCAAACGGAAGAGCCTTTGGAATTGTGTATGACAAAAAAGATATACTCCGTATTATCATTGTGAAATTACACTTTTAGCCCTCAAATTAACACCAACATGATAGAAGATCAAAAAAAGGACTATTTGTGAAAGGTACCCATAAAAGAAGGACCACTTGGGTAATATTTGATAATAGAGAACTAAATAGGGAAACCCCCTGTTATAAAGGACCAATTATAAAATTTACTCTTATTTTTTTAACAGGGGTACGAGGAATCATCTCTTTTTTCTATAGCTCCTCTCTAGCTCCTATATTTCACTTTAGCTTTTTATGTTTTATTATATTTATCATCATGTGTATGTTATATTAATGGTCGAAGTGTATCACAATGGAAAGTGTTTAAACATGTCGTGGATGAAGAGACATGTCACGATAAGCAAAATTGTACAAGAACAACCCAGTAGAATCCTGTAACGGTAGAGTCTGGGGAACGCATGTGTACGCAGATCTTACCATTACTAAAAGTAAAACTATACAAAAAAAAAGCTAAATTTAAAATTGGAAGTGTGTTTATAGCTTTTAGGTTTATCATTTTTGTATTTAAAATTTTCTTTGCATTGTTTATATTAAACAAATATGGCTTTGTGCCTTTGTGTTAAATATGTTATGTATATATTTAATATTAATTGTGTAATCATTGTATACATGGTTGTTTCCTTGTATAGGTTTCCTTCCGTAATTAGAACTCTACTGTAATTATTTATACAAAGCTTAGCCCTCCGTTATTATTCATAGAAAATAACAATTCTTCACTTTGTACTAAAAAAACAAATATGGCTTTTATGGCTCTTGTGTACCTTTTTGTTGGACGATACTGAATGATTACGGAGTAATATATTTTTAAAAAAATACTCTCTTTAATGGTGTAAATTAGTAGATGGGATTTGATATATAGACCAATTCTAAGGATGTTAAGCTAAGTCTAGAAATTATTATATTGTGGAGTATTCTAGATCAAGTCTAGGATAATATTTTCAAATTATATAGTGGAGTACCTTTAATAATTTTTAATACTTTTTATTAACTCGTGATAAATTTATGTTATTTTGAAATTATATATTAAGTACAATATACACTTTATAATAAACTTCAAATTTAATATTATATTAGGTTTTTAATTTCTACATTTTAGATAAATTATTGACCGTGCAACGTACGAGCCGGGTACGAATCTAGTATGACTAATGGGCAAATTGCTATTCCCTCGTCTTATATCTTTTTCTCATGTTGACAAGTGTGCTTAATGTTTTTAAACTTTGATTATAAATCATGGAAAAGATATGTTGAATTACGGAGTATAATATAAATATAATATCGATGTACTAATTTTGTAATATCATATTTTTATAATCTATATTTATATATAAATAGAGATTATTAATGGTTAAAGTATTTCATCAGAGACAATGCAAGATACTAAATGGAGGGAGCAGTGCATTGCATTTTTAATTATGGAGTTCTTCAAGTTTTTGTGCCCGTTGCAAGCAATTGGAATTTGTTAGAAGCGATTGGAAGGAGTTGGAAAAAAACTAGAAGATGTTGGAAGAATTTTGGGCTAAGCAAGTTGCTCAGTTAAATGATCATCTAAATAAATATATAACAGTATTCTAATTTTAGATTAAAAATTCAAATTCATCATTGCCTGTATTTGAGATGATATTTATAAATTTTATATATTTTTCTAATTCATTTTATAGAAGGATTGATTTAAAAATGAAATTAATATACTCTGTATTTAGAATATATTAACATTTATGTTCGATTTTGGATTTTCGGTATGGAAAATTGCAGCGTAGCACTCTCAAATATCAAACCAACTAGTTGATTAGATGTGGTTCAATTCTTTGTGATATTTTTCTATTCAGTATACTCCGTAATTTTTTGAGTTTTTTCAGAATAATCAAGAAGAGTTCACTACTTGTAAATCAGTGAAAAAGTTCATACTCAGTTCACAATGTGTTCACAATGTGTAATCAAGAAGTCGCGCATCTTTGCTACTGATAACACAACTCGTCCGGCAATACAAATGCAGGTAAAAGTCTTCTTTCACGAAGATTTGAATCGATTAATAGGCCCCACGTGCAGTGGCAGAGCCAGGAGGCCATGAGTGGGGGCACATTACGGGGGTCCAGGGGCAGCGCCCCCAGATTTTTTATTATTAAAAACACAATAGAAATGTTAAAAAATTAATAAATTTTCTCAAATATTCAAATACTTCATCCGTCCTAGAGTATTCGTTTACTTTAACTTTTTCGAGTCAAACTGAATAAACTTTAATCTTCAATTACTCTCAATTTGTATTGCGTATTAATAAAATCAAATAAAATTTTAAAAGTTCTAAACAAATTAAGGTTGCGTTCCGTTTGCATGATATGATCTAATTTTTTAAAGACCTGGTCTGATTTGATCTGGTCTGATCCGATTGTAGTTATAATTAAATCTGTTTCTGATCTGGTTTGATTATAATAAGAATAAGTAATAACCAGAAAAAATAAGTTGAACAAAACGCTACCTAAATCTAATAAAATCATTTTTATACTAATATATATTTTAGCTTTTATTACTTAACTGAGCTTCAAAATTTGTCCAACTTGACTTGAAAAAATCAAACTAGATGAATATTCTGGAAGGAGGTAGTAGTTCAAAACAAAATAATTAAATGGCATTATAAGTAGTATGCGTAATAAAAAAATAATCTCTTTTTAAAGTGGGTATTCAACAATAATCTCTTAAAATAAGGGGAAAAATCAAATTACTCTATTACGGAGTACTTCGTAAAAAATAAACTTACATTTATTCACATAGAAACAAAAAATCAACAATAATTTACTTCGTATGAACTAAAGCATTAAAATTAAGAGCATTGAAAACAAATTACTCTATTATGTTTCACTAAGGCTTTTTTCCCTAAGAGTACGGCGTCGTTTCACTAAGTATCTTTTAACTTTATTATTTTTAAAACGAGTGTAATGCACCGTTTCCCCCTGTGATTTCCTAAATGTTCACCGGTGCCCCCTCTGCTTC